CGTCTTCTGCAAAGACTGCGGAAACCGGATTACATTGACTACCCCAGAGCAGCCTCTCCCATCCCAACCAAGAAACACACAAAGGGAGGACAACTTTCCCTAAAAGAAAAACAAAACAAGAAAAGAAAAAAAAGTGTTTATTATAGTCAACAACACAAATGGGAACTGGTACTAGTTCTTCAGTCCCGCAGAGTGTCCACAACACTTGAGGATGGGGACATTTTCCATCTTCCAACGGCGGCCTTGGCCTTGATGATGCCTGTCTAGAAAGCAGAGCTCCCAGGCTGGGTTAAGATGGATCAGACGTCCTTTAGGTCACCAGGGTGACCCGCATGGTTCAAGAAGCCTTGGCTTTTCGGCGTTGGGTCTCCCACAGCAGAATGGAGATGGATAACGTGGTGGATCCCAGAATCCCGAAGAACACAATTAGTGAGAACAAGCCCTGTGAATCACAGTCCAAAAAATCTCATTGAGCATTAGTACACTGAAGGCTATACCCTAACACCTTGTTCTCTCCTAGTACACCTGTTCCCTCATTCAGGGCCATTCTCATAGCTTTGCTCCCTCAGGTGATTTGCATTAGCTTCCAGTCTTGTGGCTCTTCTTTGAGACAGGTTTCTGCTCTACGCATTTCTCTTATCTCTAAGGCCTAATTCCTCACCTGGCGCGTGCACTTGTAGCCATGGAAACCATCAGCACAAAGACACTGCAAGAGACCTGGACCATCAGGTGCACAAGATCCATTCTCAGGACACATTTCTGGGAGAGAGAAATATAGAACATCACTAGATCTCACCAGATAGATTTCTTAAATATCTGCTTCAATTTAGGTTCTCTCAATCCTTTGTCGATCAGTAGTAAACATCATTACAGACAACAATAACAATATATTCTAAGACCTTTTTCTTTCCAAGCAATTACAGCCTCAGAACTCCGAACAAAAGGCACCTAAGCAATTTTACTGTCTTTCTGATCTAAAGTGAATACAAGAGAGGAACGGCAGTTTCCGGAATGGTAGAGATGAGCCAGCATACCTGGGTCTCCAGTGCTATTGCAAAGGTTCCTTTGCCCTTGGCAGGTTTGGTTGTCTGAGTAACTGGTGATAGTATTCCAGGCACTAATACCTCCAGGACAGCTTACATTTTGTGGCAGTATCCTGAAGACAACACAGGTTGTCATAATATGTTCAATCCAAAATTGCTGAGCTCACAGCACTACTCCTCTCCGCTAACCTCATGCTCTTTACTTACAGAGTCTGGAGCTGAGTGAAGCCATGGAAGGTGTTAACCAAGTCATCCTTCAGGGGATTTGCTTGCAGGTCTCTGCAAAGCATACACCGTTAGCATTCTGCTCAGGAAAGCACCCGATCTCCATTTATACCTCTTCCTAGACTGGTAATCCAGCCCTCATCCAGCGTAAATTTAGACATTAATATTCATCCATCTTTTTAGGAGTCCATCCCCAAAGACCTTCCCATCAACCCCTTGCCATAGTCACTTTTTTGGGAGGGAGGGGACCTAACCACTTACATGATGATAGCAGTATGTGCCTGAAAAAATTTTGGACCAGGGTCCTTCAGAGAACAGTTCTGGAGATCCAGCCTGAGGAAACAAAGTAATCAATGTAACTATGTACCTCTCTTCTTCATCCATGACATAGTTTGTATTTGATACCTGGCTCCCATTTATCAGTATTAATTGAACACAGCTGTGTGAGCCACACGGTGCTGTGGTAGATGGTTGAATCCTGCATTATCCAATATAATCATCACTAGCTACATGTAGCTATGTAAATTTAAGTTAATTAAAATTAAATTAAAAATTCAGTCTTTCATATGCACTGGCCACACTTCAAGTGCTAGGTAGACACTAGCATGTGGTTAGTGGCTGCTGTATCAGGCAGCAAAGGGATGGAACATCTCCATCTTCGCAGAAAGTTCTAAAAAGTACTATGCCCTGTCAGTTGATATCTGTGCACATACTGGAAGAAATTTATTCCTTATCTAGATTAGTGGAGCTCATATTATGGCATTATAACTCTCAGATCCACAAAGGACTTTCAAATGGGAACAAAAAAAGAGATGCAAATCACATAAACGAAAATTTCCTCCAAGTGCATTTTCTACCACAGGTTGAATCTCCTGGACATTAAGGACCATGCTGCAATTATTTTGTCTTCAATATCTATCACTGTCCTTTCCTTTATTCTACAAATATTTACTGTATGCCTACCAATTGCAAAACATTGGGAGAATATATACATATGAAAAAAGCATAACTCAGTATCTTAGCCTTCAAGTAGCTTACAATTTAGCAGAGGAACAAGAAAATCACCAAAAACAAAAACAATATAAATGTTAAATTACAATATGAAAGAAAGAATCTAGAAATAAATTTGAGTGGTATGGACACTAAGGATTAGAGGAAGTCAAAGAAAATATTACTCTGAGATCTAACAGTGGGAAACATTCACAAAAGATGCTGAAATTGAAGGATGGCTATGTCCTAACTTGGGGGAAGAAGGCAATTCCAGGTGAGCAGAGAGGCTCTCCAAAACAACAAAGAAACAAAGGTAGAATGCCTTGTGAGTAGGTGAGTCTGGCTGAAGTCAGACCCTTATGGAGGGTTTGATTGGACAAATAATTAGAAATAATGTAGGAAAGGTGGATTGGGAACAGTCCGTGGTAGATATCGAATGTCTAATTCATGGCTTGAACTGTATCCAGAGGGCAATAGATAGTTATAAACATGGCCTTAAAGCCAGAGAATGATAATGGAAAAATTTGGTTTTTGGCAAGTTTGAAGTGGAGGTGAAGCATTCCAGAGGAAATGTTTTTAACTGCAAGTTGGAAGTACCGGTATGTACCTGGAGCGTGGAGAGGTGTCAAAGGACACTAAAAGAGAACTATTTTTGGGAGACCCCTACATGGTAGTTACAGCTGAAGCCATAAGAATACGTGAATTCTCCAAAGAGTGTACAGGGAGAAGAGCAGACGAACAAGGGGTGAATCTGAGGAACCAACCAGCATAGGGGACAGTGAGAGGAATTTGCCTTAAAGACAAACATGAATTAATCACAAGGGGAAGAAAACCATATTAGTGGCATAATGTCTTGGAGGATAAGTTGAGACACACAGTGAATAATACAAAGATCTTGATAATAAACAAAACAACAAAGCTCTTTTAAAATGAGGCATTAACAGAGCTTTTTTTTTTTCTTTTTTTAACAGGTAAAAATATGATTTTTATTCAGCTTTAAGCAGAAAGAACTACAAGATTGTTTCCTAGCGAAAAATGATACAGATTTAAAAGTCTGAGAACGAATCATGGTTTAGATGCCGCCAAAATAGGCATCAACATTTACGCCGAAAGTCTATCTAGCAAGCCTCGTAGACTCTGTTCTGGAAGCCCCCGTACCCGCCCCCGCCCCGCCCAATCCAGGGATGTCTTCTCCCTCACCCCAAGATGGTGCCCTTCTGATCCAAGCAGCAGCGGGCATGCAACGTTAGCTTCGAGGTCTTACAAAAAAGAGCCACTTCTGACAAATTTTGCACACTCCCTGGACACTGGATGCATATCTGCAAAAGGGAGAAACCTATTAGGACCCCAGAAGGGAAAGTTAAGCAAAGAACGGCGATCAAGAGTTAACTGCCAGTACACCTCTCCAGGTTTCCTCCAACAAAGGGCGGGGAAGCGGCTCGTGTCCTACCTGTTATCAGGTTAGACAGGGGATACCTTTCTTTTCCTAGAGGCAAAGCAGCACATCAGAGACTTTCAGTACCAGCCCTTGCCCAGATAAGACCTTCATCTTTGAAGATTACTATTCGAACATATTTATTATACCCCCTCTAGTGACTTCTCAATCTGACAGCTCCGGTTTGACCGGGTGTAAAAGGTCAAGAAGGTACACAATGAACTCATCAAACATTCCAGAAAGTACAGTCCTGCCGCCGCACGAAGTAAGGCATTCGTGCGCGCACAGCTTACAGAAGAGCCAGAAGACTGGTCTGTTGAAAGAATAACTTCAAAGATTAAGGAGTGAGGAGGTCAAATTTCAAAGGTCTTTAAAGGTAGGCAGGGCGGAGGCGCCTGGAGGCTCGCGTGCCGTGAGAACTCCGGAGCGGGGCCCGGATGGACTTCGGCCGGGGTCAGGAAGAGGCCTCAGGGACGAAATTGGAGCTGCGGGCCGGCTGGGGCAGGGCGTGCGAGCGCGATACACCAGCTTGCCCGCAACTCTGCTTCAGTCCGACCTCTAACTTGCTTCGGTACCTCGGGTAACGCCAGAGCCCTTTCCACGCCCAGAGCGAGGAGCAGGGCGGCAGCACAGGGCACCAAGCTCGTAGGACCGCCTGGCCCGCGAGGCGCCATTTTCCGCTGCCTTCCTCCTTCTCAGCAGCTCGTAACACCTGCGCGCGATGGCCCCGCCCCCAGCGCGTCACGCCCTCACCCCGGGGCGGGCCGAGCCTGCCGATCCAGTCGCCCGGGGCGGGCTGGGGCTGCTTGCTGCTGGCCAGGGGCAGCATTCTTCTCCGTGCGCCTCTAGTCCTCGTCCTCGGGAAAACTTGTCGCCTGTTCTTTTTCCCCCTTTAGCAAAGCACCCCACCCCCCGCCTCCTGCCGCTCGGCTGCTTTTAGCCGACTGCAGGCTTCCTCAGTCCTGCGTTCCCCGCGCCTGGACGCCAACGTCGCGTCTCTGCAGAGGCTCCAGGCCGCTCCATCCGCCCTCAGTAAACATGGCGGCCGGGGCGGGTAGCGGGCGGGGCCTGATGTCAGCTGGCGCCCTCGCTGCGGGCCTGGCTCTCTCGCGATTGCCAGACCCACGTGTGGAGACCAGCTAGGTGGGCTGGCTGGCGGGCGGGCGGGTGCGCAGACGCTTCGGAGAGCCGCGGCTGGGCTGGTGCCGGGCGGCAGAGGGGGGCGGAGCGAGCTGGCCTCCGCGTGGGGGCTCGCGAAGGTCTGAGGGACCAGCGGGAAGGTGGTCGTCTCTGCAACTCGCTTGTAGAGAGAAGGAGGGAAGCAAGGAAAGAGAGAGAGTAAGGGTGATGGAGGCGAGAGGAACGAAGGGGAACTCCAGGCAGGAAGAGATGAGCCTGAGGGCGCCCCGGGCACCCAGTCCCTTTCACCTCATTCCTAAGACCGTGCGGCGTCCCGAAGCCCTGGCGGGGAGGAGGTGGGGGCGGAATACATGCTGCCCTAACTCCTCACCTGCCGTTGCCTTCCCAGAAAAAGTGAGCAGTGGTGATCCCAGGAAGAATGTAAGGACCTTTTTAGCCCTGGCTGAGCCACAGAGGTAAGGGGAAGGGGAGGTAAGGGGAAGGCGAGCGCTGCCCCAGGATGTTCTGGGCTTGCCCGGCTCCCGCAGGGACGGAGTGTTGGTTTCGTCCCAGCCTGCTGAAAGCTCATCAAAGCTAACTAAAGCTCATTTTGAGCAGCTGGCCCGGCTTCTTTCAGGGTCTCTGGCTTCTTCCATATACCCCAAGATATCTGATATCTCCACGAAGGATATTTCTAAGGCGTTAATAGTTTATTAGCATTTTAATGAGGACGCTAAAGCCTTTTAGAGCTTGAGGAATTTTAGGCACAAAGACAGATTTTGAAGGAAACTTTTTGGGACAGTTGATCCTGCCATGGTCCCTTTGCCTTTTGTAGGAGTCAAAGCAATCCAGTGCAGAGTATGACTAAGGTGAGGGGCTGGGAAAGGGAGAGCAGAGAAAGATTCTCTTCCCTGTGTATGTGTTAGGGTTTTTAAAAGGGGTCTCCCACAGCCTGCTGTTTGCGCCCTGGTGTATTACGGTTTTAGTAGAACAACTCAGCTCTTACCTTTGGCTCCTATTCTCTCAGAAAGATGCAAGTCCATGGGGTTTGGGTCAGTAGAGTTTTTAGAAAGCACTGCCTTATTCTTAGAATCATGCCTAATGAAGGCTTTGTTACCGGGTCAGGCTTTGCCTCTCTTTACTGGCTCTGTCTTTAGCAATCTGGAAGCCTTCTCGCACCTCATGTCAATAAATTCGTCAGGAATCCCTGCCATTTTACCTCAGCTGTAGAGTTTCTCCACTTTTGGGCTTTGTGTACCCGCAGTCTGTGCTGGGACCTTTCTTCTTTTTACTAACCACCTGCCACTAACACCATACCACTAACACTTATTTACACGTAGCACATAGCAGACGTTGTTTCTCCTCTTACTGTCCCGTATTGCAGTTCCCATCACCCCTGTCATAGCAGTAACAATTTGCCAAAGAGGAGGGAGAAAACTCAAGATACTGCATTGTTCAAAGGCCCAGGGCATCTTTATGTTGAACCAGAGTGGCCTTTTGGGAACATTGTTCTGGGGGACTGGCATCTGTGACTCTGCAGAACATATGATCCCAAGAATTGCCATCTCTTATTTCCTCTCTTCTTGGGCTTCAGGAAGTTCAGAGTTCAGGTTTGGTCTGCGTGAGGCCATATCTTGCCAACCAGATAACATCTGGCCAAGAGCGCAGTGTGGGAGAGGCAGAAGAGAGCCAGGCTGATCTTTCGTCTCATGGGCAAGAGCACAAGTAGTCTCTAGCTTAGTTGAAATCTAAGCTCTATTCCATGAATGACTGTGATTAACAGTCTGCTGCTTGTTGGTTCTGGGGGTGGTGAAGACAGGATCTCTGTTAAGTGCAGACAGCCCTTTTTTTCCTTGTTTTATATCATGCTATATAATCTTGATCAAGCTATTTAACTGCTCTAAACCTTGTTTTCCTGGTGAGAATTAGAGTGTTTGTATAAATTGCTTGATATAAAACTGCTTTGAAAATGCTGGCTATCATTACTTCGTTATTTATTATTACTGTTAATGTTTATGAAACACTTAGCACATTGCTGGGTTACGTGGCAGGTGTTCAAAAATGTTAACTGTCGCCATGTTAGACTGCCTAACTGCATGGCAATCTCTGGTATTTTTCCCCCATACCAGTAAGTAACCCTGGGGATTGCCTCTAAAGACAACATGGTATGAATAGAAAACAGGATGACTAGGGAATCACTAGGCCTGGGTTCTGATTTAGCCTCTCATAATAATTGGCTGTGTTTTCAGAAAGGCCACTTGAACTGTCTGTGACTCGGTTTCTTTGTAGAAAGAGAGGGTTGTAATAGTGATCACTGAAGAATCCTCTTAAGTCTTGAAATACAGCGCTGTGCTTATTCTTCTGAGAGGAGTGGAGTGTTCTCTGAGCATGAGTATTTCTTGTGCAGGAGTCAGAAAGCAACTTTCCTGACTTCTCTCAGCTCCTCCTTTTCTAACTCCAGTACACAGATGGCCAAGTGTGACTTATGGCAAAAGTCTAATCCTTTTAGGAATGTTGCTGAAGGTGAGCTCCCTGCTTCCCATTCTGGAGCTTCTAGGGCTGAGCTGGGTTGGGGCCCATAGGGTCCTGGCTCCCATGATAGGGCCATTTGGATCTTAGGGATTGGTTCCCTGAAGGGGCCGATACAAGGAGGTGCTGAACTTCATCCCTCCCCCAATTCCCAGTCTCACCTTAGCTGTTTACAGAGTCAGACCCTCAGCCTCTGCCCAGCTTCAGACACAGCTCTTCCAGGCGGCCCTGCCTCAGAACAGGGATTGCTTCTCCAGGTAGGTGTTTGCTCACAGCAGGGTAGGACCACTGGCCCTGGCTGGTTTGCTTCTTGCCAAGGTGGCCCTGTAATCCTGACTCTGAACCCTTGGCTCCAGCATGTGACCCTCCCTTGCATCTCACTTTTAAACCCTCTTACCCTTCCCGGATCTGCTGTTGGCTGTGTTGTAACAGGTAGAGGGGCTGAGAGGTGGGTGGCAGGGCTTACCTAGTGGTGTTGGGGAGAATGTTGAGGAGGATGGAGGTGTTGGCCTGGGGATGCCTAGAATGGCATTTGGGCCTGCTGTGGAGACAGTCCTACTGGTGATCAGTACTGAGAATGGATGCTGTTAGGAAGGGTGACACTGGGGATAACAGGAGGTGGGTGCTGAGGTCAGGGGAAATGGGGGAAGCCATACTGATGCTAATCTCCATTTCTTTTGCCCTGCTGGTCTGTGGCGCCAGGCTGGGCTCTTGGCTTAGTGAATTGTGATAACTGGGTCTGGGCCTGTAAGTGGGGCCAGGGAGTTCTTCTGGGAAGAAACTTGACCCAGAGTTGATTTTTCTTTCATTACTGGGGTGGAGACCTGAGAAGGTTCACAGTTCTGCACACCCAAGGTTTTGGCCAAGTTATTATCTCCTGACTGTCTCACTCTTCTGCTTCCCTCCTCACCACTGTCTCCTAGCACACCCACACCAGGACTTCCAGACTTTCAAGGGCTACCACTGAACTGGCTAGTCCGTGTCTGACGGGTGTGGGGCACAAGGCTCCAGGGTGAGTGGCATAGCAGGCAAGACAGGCCTTACTGGGTGCTGATTCCTTTGCATTTCCCCCTGGACAATGTCATTCGGTAAAGGAGGAAGACTGTGAGACTGGCTGGGTGCCAAGCTGTAGCCACTGCCTGACACTGCCCAGCTAAGTGGCAGCCCAGAGCCCATGAGCAGCCAGTGACTACAGGTCAGGGACACAGTATGGACATGAATGCAGCGGTGAGCACCTCAGCTCCCTTCCTCCCAACCTCAGGCACAAGCATGGTCACATCCACCTTCTCCTCTGTGGACTATGTGATATTTGTCCTGCTGCTGGCTCTCTCCCTTGCCATTGGGCTCTACCATGCCTTCCGTGGCTGGGGCCGGCATACCATCGGCCAGCTGCTGATGGCAGACCGCAAGATGGGCTGCTTTCCTGTGGCACTGTCCCTGCTGGCCACCTTCCAGTCAGCGGTGGCTCTCCTGGGTGTGCCATCTGAAATCTACCGATTTGGGACCCAGTATTGGTTCCTGGGCTGCTCCTATTTCCTGGGTCTGCTGATCCCTGCCCACATCTTCATCCCTGTCTTCTACCGGCTGCATCTCACCAGTGCCTATGAGGTGAGTGGGGAGGAAGGGAGGAGCATGTGGGGCCACCAGGGTCAGGGATGGAGAGGAGGAACAGGGTACATATGATGAGTCTGGAACCTGGGTCTCGGTGAGGTTGGGGTGGGGGTGCTGTGCTGAGTGGGGCCTAGAGTGGATAGAATTTGGAAGTTCATGTTTCTGGGCCTCTTCAGTGAAGTTGTGTGTGAATCATGGGTATAAGATGGGGAGAAATACTTTTTTTTCTGTATACTCTTGCCTAGTACCTGGAGCTCCGATTCAATAAAGCAGTGCGGGTTTGTGGAACCGTGACCTTCATCTTGCAGATGGTAAGTGGAAGGAGAAGAAAAATTGAGCCAGAGACATGGTAGGAGCACCTGGACTTAGGCATGCTGAGGCACTTGGGGCCTTCCCTGTTTTCAGACTGGCAGTATTGAAATTCTTGCTGGGGATCATTGTCACTAAAGCTGCCAGATACATCCTGCTATCCCATCCTAGCACAGGTACTGTGGTGAGAGCAAGCCTAAATTTGGGGAGCAGGTGAGGTCAGGGACTGAGCTTAGGTGAGGGGAAGCCATTGGGATGTTGAAGCTAAAGTCTGTCTTTTCTCTATCTCCTTACCCTCATTTCCTGTCCCCCTCACATTCCCGTTTCACACCCAACAGGTGATCTACATGGGGATTGTGCTCTATGCACCATCACTGGCCCTCAATGCAGGTGAGGAGTCACTGCCCCTGGCTTCCAGCCATGTTGGCCTGTGTAAACTCCTTAGGGAGGGGCAGGTAGGGGAGAGTTTGCAGGAAAGAATCTGGCCTTGACAAGGGGATTATTTCTCTGCATGGGCCCTTGGACTGGCCTCTCCCAGAGGAAGAAGCAGGCTTAGTTCACTGCACTTGAAAGGTAATCAAACATTACTCTGCCTCATGGGAATTGGTTAATCAACACCTGTTAGTAGAGCTCTGCAGACATTTTTTCCGTTGTGGTGAATGATTTATTTCATCTTTAATGATCATTGTCTTCACGCTTCATCTCTAAGACGTGACTGTCCGTATCAGAGCGTCTCTGCCTTCCCCACTGGGAAACTCTTCCAGAAGTATGAACATGACTTTTATTTGCTTACAGTGACTGGCTTTGATCTGTGGCTGTCAGTGCTGACCCTAGGCATTGTCTGTGCTGTCTATACTGCTCTGGTAAGTGTAGTCATCCCCAGGGGATGGGAGGAGATGAAGTGAAATGAGGAGAGATGGGAGGAGAAGGAAGAAGAAGGATGAGCTAAGAAGGAGAGTGAGAAGATAGGATGGAATTCTAGGTGTGGGATGAGATGAGATATAGGAGATGGGATGGCATGAGAAGGTAGTTGGGATGAGGTGAGATTGTTGGATAGGTAGGGGGTGGGATGGGAATGGTTTCACCAGGGTCTTAGCAATTATGCCCCCAGAAGCCAGCATAGTATCCTCACTAGTGGATCGGTGTCCTCATTAGTGGATGGCTCAAATGACATCTGGGCAGCTGTGCTATCTTTTCTCTGCAGGGTGGGCTGAAGGCCGTCATCTGGACAGATGTGTTCCAGACACTGGTCATGTTCCTAGGGCAGCTGGCAGTTATCATCGTGGGCTCAGCTAAGGTGGGCGGTTTGGGGCATGTGTGGGAGGTGGCTTCCCAGCATGGCCGCATCTCTGGGATCGAGTAAGTACACCCCTGGCCTGAGTGGGGTCTGCAGTGCCTGGAGCTGAGCCCACCCTGGCCTGATCTCAGGGCTACAGTGAGCAGAGAGCAAGCTGTCACAGCCTCGGATGGGGCACTGAGACGGGCAGGAAGCTGGTGCTGCAGGGGGATTGTGATCCTAGGTGCCAGGCTAGGGTTGAGGGTGAGGATGTGTTGATTACCCAGGGTGGATCTGTGGGTTGGAGAAGTGGGACCACTGCCCCCAACTCGCTGCACTGTCCCCTTTGGTCCTAGCGCTGGTGTCTCTGCTCTGCCCTCTGTTGCCAGGAGGGCAGGGAGGGCTGGGCCTGTCTCTGAGACCATGGCACAGTGCCTGGGTGACGTCTGTTGCAGGCTAGATCCTGACCCTTTCATGCGGCACACCTTCTGGACCCTGGCCTTCGGGGGCGTCTTCATGATGCTCTCTTTATACGGGGTGAACCAGGCTCAGGTGCAGCGCTACCTCAGCTCCCGCACGGAGAAGGCTGCAGTGCTGTGAGTGCAGGGACAGGACGGCAGGGGAGCAAAGGCTGGGGAGGGGGGGCCCGGTTCCTCCAGGTGGCTGGGGTGGGGGCGGGATACACACACACCCACTGGGGTCAGCACATGGCCCCCTTTCTGGGAGTACCTGGGGGTGTCTGCTCACCCCACGTCTCCCCTTGGCACTGGCCTCTCCTGCAGCTCCTGCTATGCGGTGTTCCCCTGCCAGCAGGTGACCCTCTGCATGGGCTGCCTCATTGGCCTGGTCATGTTCACCTATTACCAGGAGTATCCCATGAGCACCCAGCAGACCCAAGCAGCCCCTGACCAGGTGAGAAGGCCTCCCGGGCCCCCTTCTATGCCCATGAGGGGCCAGTCCAGGCCCCACGGGGAGTGTCTGGATGGCTGCAGAAAGGACTCTGTGCCTGGACAAGAAATGGATCTAAAGTCCCTTCCCATTCTGAGATTCTGTGAATCTAGCAGGTGAGAAACGCAGCTGCAGCATCACCTGTTCACAGTGCTCACCCTGCTGGGGGTGGGGACCTACCTTTAGTGACTGCCCACCATGAGCCAGCTTGCTGGGAGCTCTCACACACCTGGTGTCGTCTAGCCTCCCAACAGCCTCTTTTCACTGAGGAGAACATGGGCTCACTGATGTACCCGCCTGCTCAGCCACACTACTAGTTGGGCTGAGCTGGGATGTGGATGTGAACTGCTTCGTTCTCTCCCAGGGCCCATTTTCTGTCCACTTCCTGTGGGGTCACTCAGGTCAGCAGAGATGCCTCAGTGGCTGGCATCCCTTCCTGGTCACCGTCTCCATAGCGTCTTGCCCTGGGAAGGGATCCTCTCTCAGGAGAGCTGTGCACCTCTGCTCTGCTTGTAGTTCGTCCTGTACTTCGTAATGGATGTCCTGAAAGGCCTGCCGGGCCTGCCTGGACTCTTTATTGCCTGCCTCTTCAGTGGCTCCCTCAGGTACCTGTTTGGCCCTTTCTCTCAGGCTTGTGAAACTGACCCCTGCTTGGTACAAAGTGACGGGGGAGGAGGCGATCCCTCTGAGTGTCTCATTGTGCCCATCCCATCAGCAGATGACGGGACAGCTGATCTGTGCAGGACAGCACAACCTGTCCCAGGAGATGCCCCCTTTTTGGTTAGGAATGCTTCTTTTACAATACCTGGAATCGATGTACTTAAATTCTATACCCACAGACAGAAAAGGACAGTGGCCTTGCCTCCCAGGCCTCCTCTGAAGTAGCCTTGGCTGTCACCTGAGGATGGTTTTTGTTGCTGCACGTGTCATCTCTCTCACCTTTAGGGTGCTAATCCCTCAAAAGGAGCTAGAGTTTCTTCCTAGTGTTGCCTTTCTCAGCTGCCAGAGTCAGGACAGCTTGACATTCTCTTCTTCCTTTCTAGCACCATATCTTCAGCTTTTAATTCACTGGCAACTGTTACAATGGAAGATCTGATTCGACCCTGGTTCCCTGAGTACTCTGAAGCCTGGGCCACTAGGCTTTCCAAAATCATTGGTGAGATTGTATTTCCTCATTCCTTCAGTCTTGTTCTTCCTAAGAATCCTGGTTACCACCTGACACTCTATGGCTGCTGGCTTCAGTCTGTCTTAAAGCGCCTGCTTCATGCTGGGCTCAGCCCTTAACTGATAAAGCGTACAACCTTCACCCCACGGTTGTTTACATCTCAGAGCGTTTCCCATAGACATCACGGGTGGGAGGGGCCTGGAGCTGGGACATGAGGTAATATGCCCTCTGCCTCCAGGGGCACAGGGGTGGTGGTTTGGCTGGGGAAGAAGTGTGGCTCTACTTTTTTCCCCTTTTTTATTGTGTAAATTCATACCTGCTTATTGTTTCCTTTTCCTTTTTCCTCAGCCTTTGGCTATGGACTGCTTTGTCTGGGAATGGCCTATATTTCCTCCCAGATGGGACCTGTGCTGCAGGTAATGACTACGGAGGGAAGAAGGCAGTTAGGAGGGGAAAGGAATGGACTGAAATAGGCAATTGAGAAGACAGCTATTTTGAGGGGAAAGACAGGGACAGGTGTCAGAAATTCTCCTTTGATGGACCAGTTTTAACTACGGAACAGACTCTCAAGTAGCCAAAAGCCCCAGTGTCGTTCCTGGACATTGTTAGCTCAGAGATCTAAGAGGGGAACCATGCCAATAACCATTCCTGCCCTCTGGAATCCTGAGTTCTGATTGCTCCAGGTGGAAGGACAGATCTGACAAGCGAGGCTCTGTGGCAGTGGCGGGTGGCTGTGCTCTCCGTCAACGGACTGGGGGTCTCTGAGCCTGTGTGTTCTCCCCCAGGCAGCATTCAGCATCTTTGGCATGGTTGGGGGGCCACTGCTGGGACTCTTCTGCCTTGGGATGTTCTTTCCTTGTGCCAACCCCCCTGTGAGTGACCCATCGGCTCAGTGGTCTTATGGAGGGGGATGTCCTGGGGGAGGGGCTTGGCAGGGCTCACCATGAGTGCTGGGTCTGGTGTGAAGGTTTGACGGTAGGGAGGTGGGGACAACTGAGGGCTAGCCTTGTGACATGTCTCTGGGCAGGGAGCCATAGTGGGCCTGGTAGCTGGACTCATCATGGCCTTCTGGATCGGCATTGGGAGCATAGTGTCCAGCATGGGCTCCAGCGTGGCATCCTCTCCCTCTAATGGGTCCAGCTTCTCCTTGCCCAGCAATCTGACTGCCGTCACCATGACCACACTGATGCCCTTGACCACCCTCTCCAAGTAAGTGGGCTTACTTTCTTCTTAGGAGGAGTGTCATTTCTGAGGGGTTGCCCAGGAGCCTGGCCAAGGGATGGGCCACCAGAGGCCTCAGGGAAGTGTGGGTGTTGAGTCCTAGGACCCTGGGCCCCTGTAGGTGGATGGAGCCAGGTACTTGTCCTTACTTCTCTGTTCCCCCAGGCCTACAGGGCTTCTGCGACTCTATTCCCTGTCTTACATGTGGTACAGCGCCCACAACTCGACCACAGTCATCGTGGTGGGCCTGATTGTCAGTCTGCTCACTGGTGAGGAGTGTGGGACAGGGGCCCAGAGAAGCAATGAGGGGCTGAGGGAGGGCTCAGGCAGCCTGGAGTCTGGATGAGACCCTGCCCTTCTAGCACTTGGCTGTTTGTAGCAGTGAATATTGTTGGCTGAGTTTGAGGAGGTGGGCCGGGGACTTGAGAACTGTGAGCCCTGGAAGACAGAGGGCTTGCTGGGTATGGACTAACCACCCAGTAGGAGACTCAGAAGCACCTTTGCCTTTAGGGGGCATGCGGGGTCGGACCCTGAACCCTCGGACCATTTACCCCGTGTTGCCAAAGCTCCTTGCTCTCCTGCCCTTGTCCTGGCAGAAGCAACTTCCCTGCAAAAGCTATAGCCAGGTAGTGCCTGTGTTGTCCACGTTATCCTTTCCTATCCCTTCTCCACAAATTGCTGCCTGACCTTCCAGTTTCCCTCCCTTCTCCCCCCTCATTTCTTCCCTAAGCATGGACATGTGCAGCTGCCCCAGCTTCTTCCACACGGAGCTCTGGCTTGTGGGAGAAGGCTCTCAGGCCCAGAGAGGAGCCCAGAGTGCTGACCGCTGCACCTTCATCCCACAGTCTTGCTCTCCCCTTGCCTTGTGCTTTGCTCCTCGTTTCTCCACACCCCACCCCTGCTCACTCCCTCCTCCTCCTGGCCTTGCTGATTTCCCATCTAGCAAGAATCCCAGCAGAGTCTTTCCTCCTTCTCTGCATTAGCTCTTTCACTGCTCCTTTGCCTCATATTCACTTCAGCCCACTCCCCTTAGTCTGTGTGTTCCCCAGGACCTCCCCACAGACACCGCTGTGTTCTCAGAGAAGACGAGTAATGGTATACTGTGGGGCAGCGGAGACAAGAAAGAAGAGGACAGGTCATCCCACAAGGGCAGCAGCCCCACCTTTACCCTGCAGGAGACCTCACTGTGATCTGGAATCAGGACCCAAGCCTCTCCACACTCAGCCAGGCAGCAGCCAGAGGCTACCCCATAGTACAAGGATGATTCACTTGATATGTTCTGCAGGATGGTTAAGGATGTGGAGGACCTAGCCCACACCAAGGGTCCTTGTTTTTAAAGGCTCTAACCTGTAGTAGAAGTTGTCCCGTCATGGGGATGTGAGGATCAGGCAGGGTTTTTCCTTTTCACTCACAAACCTGCCCTCTAGAGGACTAGGCTTTCAGGGGGCAGGATTGTGCCAGAAAAGGGGATAGAAGGTAATCCTCTGGGAATATGACAATGCCTTCTAATTCAACATGGCCAAGATCCTCTGAAGTGAATAGAAACAGCGTTTCTGGTTGTGACTGCCCTAGGGCCCAGTTTGGCAAGATTGATCACCTGTACCATAACGCTGTAGTTTTCTTGGCCAGCTATTGCTTCCCTTGCAATCCCGTCTAAGCACAGAATCCGTCAGCCACAAGGGGTTCCTGTGACTACCCTCAGGTTGTTTGTGACACCCCAGTCTCTCTCATCCTTCTCTGCTGACCTCTATTCTTGAGAGGGAAGGCTTTGGTGCCCCTGGGAGGCCTCAGAATAGAAATGTTTCTCTCCTTTCTGGAAAGTAGGGAAGTTTTCCACATCACTACCCCCACCCTCCACTGTTGATCCAAGGAAACTAGTGCCATTGCCAGGCCCACTGGAGCAGCTGTTCCTCTGACTTCTGAGCCGTGCCACCTAGTGTCTTCTGTGCTTCTATTTCCTTTTGGAGTTTCTTCACCTCATATCTTTGTTCCTAGGGAATAAAAACTACCATTGGACCTATAATCTGGGCTCCTATACTGTCTCCAACTGCTCTTGTCCACCAACGCCATCCCTTCGACAAGATAAAGAGCTCTCTCATGGTGAACAGATGTTCTTCCTCAGCTGAGAAGGGACCGGTTCTGGTTCATTGTGGTTTCAAATCTGAGACCTAGCATTTCTTCAGGGGCAGCATTCTGTTTACTGGGATGCAGATGCACACTCTCACTGATTCTCCCTTCCTATCCCCTGTGGCTCAGTCTGTCCTGTTAGGCCCCTTGTGTCCTTGCCAAGACATTTCCTACTGCTCTGAGATTTTCGGTTTGGGGGCTGGGGGAAGAATGCTGCTAACAGGACATTTGAGGTAGACTTATGATCTTGTGAGGAACACTGTGCTCAGATTCTCTAGTTGCCCAAGAAGCAGCTCTGGACAAGCTCTCCAGGGTCCCTCAGCAGATGCTTGGTTCCAGGAAGATCTATGGGTTTGGTACTGGTGAAGATCTTATGGCTCCCAGCCACAGTCCAGCTGCCCTCCCACATCCCATGCAGCATGGGCCTGGGTCATTCTGTTTCTCCTTTTCTATCTCCACCCCTAGCTGAGTCACCCCTTCAGCCCCATTTCTCCTGCTGCCCTGGCCAGCCCTGTGGTGGAACAGCAGCTCATCATGCCAGAACCCAGACCCCCCAGCCTGCCCAGAACCTCCTCTGTGCTTGTGTTGGCAATGGTGGCTCCTAAGACCACTCCTACTGGGCCTTAAACCTGTCTTCCTGATTTTCTTTCTAGTCCGTGACCCTCTGGATTTCATTATAAAATTCTTTCTCGGTAGGGCCTTCAGGTAGCTGGTTGTGAGCTTCTCCACGCCTGGAAAGTTACTCTGAGCGGAGACATGTCCGCTAAAGCTACCACCTCTTAGATGTGTCTGGGAGGCACCCCAGGGACAATGGGGAGGGAGAATGATACCCTTTTTAAAAAACATTCCAGTTTCATCTTCACCCTTTGACTATTTCCCCATTCATATGCATATGGCCTCAGGCCTCTGGGTGGGTGGAACCAGATGTCCCTGGCCTATCAATCATCCCTTTTAACAGGCCTGGCCCTTGCCCCGAGCCACTCAAGAGGAGGCTTTTCTTCCTTAGCTGCAGCATAACATTTCTTAACTTTCAGCCATTACAGATAACAACAACCAAAGGAACCATCTAAGAATCAAAGTTTCATTTCCAATGCCCCTTCGCTCTTTCTCTTATAAAGTCCCATGCTTCCATGAGTCTGGAGCCATTGCAATGAATCCTACTCCTGGTGCCAGCTGTAAAAATGGCCTGTGAGGGTGGTGTCTGACCTCTTCACAAGGGAGAAGGAGAATCAAGATCAACAGCCCAAGGCTGATTGCTATGAGTTGAATTTTCAAGCAAGCAAGTGATTTGTCTGACCACCCCCTCATAGCAATCAGCCTTGGGCTGTTGATTTGATGCTCCTTACCCTTTGTGAAGTTAGAGGAGGTCAGACACTGCCCACACCTTGCCATTTTTACACCTGGTCTTTTGCATGCTTTATAGGATTATATATATATATAGAATTCTTTAGAGAAGCAATTTAGAGTAATTCTTTTTTTTTTTGTCTGTTTTTAAGGCTTTGTTATACTAATTAAAATAAACAAGTTATCTTTTTCTTAAACTGATTTTTTTATTCCTCATGAAAAACACCAGCCATGGCTTTCAATTTGATACAAAAACAGAAGCTTAGAGAGCCCTCAGAACAAAGTGAAACAGAAAAATCATATCTAGCTTAAAAACCAGGTTTATATAATATATTTTTGAAAATTTAAGTTACTTTTAGTATATTCAACTTAAAATGTTTTTGAACATGCACCTAAAGTCAGCATCCCGGTAAGGGGGAGGAAGTCCAGGCTTATTTATCAGGGAAGTTTTAAAAGTCTTTTAAAAATTAATTCATACAAAATTAGTCATCTATAAATGAATTTAGGATTTTTTTTTTTTTTTAAATCACTATAACGGCAAGAGTAATTTGAGAAAAAGCTTCCTTAGCAGCACCCCACTCCTGCTGCCAAGTTCTGTCTTAGTCATCTAGTTCTGCTATAACAAAAATACCACAAGTGAATGACTTTAACAAAGAGAAATTTATTTTCTCACAGTCTAGGAGGCTAGAAGTCCAAATTCAGGGCATCAGCTCCAGGGGAAGGCTTTCTCTGTCAGCTCTGGAGGAAGGACCTTGCCATCAATCTTCCCCTGGACTAGGAGCTTCTCCACGCAGGGAACCCAGGTCCAAAGGACACACTCTGCTCCTGGCACTACTTTCTTGGTGGTCTGAGGTCCCCCTGTCTCTGCTCGCTTCTCTCTTTTATATCTCAAAAGAGATTGGCTTAAATTGTAGATTAATTTTGTAGATTGAGTCTACATAACTGCCACTAATCTCATCTCACTGACATCATAGACATAGGATTTACAACACATAGGAGAATTACATCAGATGACAAAATGGTGGACAACACAATACTGGGAATCATGACCTAGCCAAGTTGACAGGTATTTTTTGGGGGACACAATCCATGACACCCCCTACTTTATCTTCTCCAGCGACTGGTCCCCCCTGATAACTAGTCCAAAGTATGTGAGACAAAGTCTCACCATCCTTGCTTCTAAACAGCATGCTGGCTGTACTTCTTCCCAGAGAGATTTGTTTGTTCTTCTGGCAGTCCATGGTATATTCAATATTCTTTGCAAACGCCATAATTCAAAGGCATCAATTCTTTGGTTTTCCTTATTCATAGCCCAGCTTTCATGTGCATATGAGGCGATTGAAAACCCATGGCTTGGGTTAGGCACACCTTAGTCCTCAAAGTGACATCTTTGCTTTTTAACACTTTAAAGAGACTTTTTGCAGCAGATTTACCCAATGCAATACGTTGTTTGATTGCTTGACCTCTTCTTCCATGGACGTTGATTGTGGATCCAAGTAAAATGAAATCCTTGACAACTTCAATATTTTCTCTGTTTATCATGATGTTGCTTATTGGTCCATTTGGGAGGATTTTTGTTTTCTTTATGTTGAGGTGTAATCCATACTGAAGGCTATAGTCTTTGATCTCCATCAGCAAGGGCTTCAAGTCCTCTTTGCTTTCAGCAAACAAGCTTGTGTCATCTGCATTTCACAGGTTGTTAATGAGTCTTCCTCCAATCCTGATGCTGCATTCTTCATATAGTCCAGTTTCTCGGAGTATTTGCTCAGCATACAGATTGAATAGGTATGGTGAAAGGATACAACCCTGACACATACCTTTCCTGATTTTAAACCATGCGATGTCCTCCTGATCTGTTGGAACTACTGCCTCTTGGTCTATATACACATTCTACATGAGCACAATTAAGTGTTCTGGAAATCCTATTCTTCCCAGTGTTATCCATAATTTGTTATGATCCGCACGGTTGAATGCCTTTGCATAGTCAATAAAACACAGGTAAACATCTTTCTGGTATTCTCTGCTTTTAGCCAAGATCCATCTGATATCAGCAATGATAGCCCTCATTCCACGCCCTTTTCTGAATCTGGCATGAATTTCTGGCAGTTCCATGTTAATGTACTGCTGCAACTGTTTTCTAATTATCTTCAGCAAAATTTTGCTTATGTGTGATATTAATGATATTGTTCTATAATTTCCTCATTCTGTTGGATCACCTTTCTTTGGAATGGGCACAAATATGGATCTATTCCAGTTGGTTGACCACGTAGCTGTCCTCCAAATTTCTTGGCATAGATGAGTGGGTGCTTCCAGTGCTGAATCCATTTGTAGAAACATCTCAGTTGGTATTCTGTCAATTCCTGGAGACTTTTTTTTTTTTTCCTCAGTGCCTTCAGTGTAGCTTGGACTTCTTTCTTCAATACCATTGATTCTTGATCATATGCTACCTCCTAAATGGTTGAACATTGACCAACTCGTTTTGGTATGGTGACTCTGTATTCCTTCCATCTTCTTTTGATGCTTACTGGCTCATTCAATATTTTCCCCGTAGAATCCTTCAATATTCCAACTCAAGGCTTGATTTTTTTTTCCTTCAGTTCTTTCAGCTTGACAAATACTGAGAATGTTCTTTCCTTCTGGTTTTCTAACTCCAGATCTTTGCGCATTTCATAATAATACTTTGTCTTCTTAAGCTGCCCTTTGAAATTTGTTCCGCTCTTTTACTTCATCATTTCTTCCATTCACTTTAGCTACTCTACATTCAAAAGAAAGTTTCTGAATGTAGGCTCTTCTGACATCCATTTTGGTCTTTTATTTCTTTCTTGTCTGTTTCATGACTTTTTGCTTTCTTCATTTATGGTGTCCTTGACGTCATCCCACAACTCATCTGGTCTTCGGTCATTAGTGTTCCATCCATCAAATCTGTTCTTGAGATGGTCTCTAAATTCAGGTGGGATATACTCAAGGTCATACTCTGGCTCTTGTGGACTTGTTTTAATTTTCTTCAACTTGAATTTGCATATGAGCCATTGATGATCTGTTCTGCAGTCAGCTCCTGGCCTTGTTGACTGATGATGTTGAGCTTCTCCATCGTCTCTTTCTACAAATGTAGTTGATTTGATTCCTGCATATTCCATCTGGCAAGGCCCACGTGTATAGTCACAGTTTATGTTGTTGAAAAAAGTTTAGGTTGTTGAATAAGTTGTTGGTCTTGCCAAATTCTATCATGTGATCTCCGCCATTGTTTCTATCACCAAGGCCATGTTTTCCAAGTACCAATTCTTTGTTTCCAACTTTTGCATTTCAATCACCAATAATTATCAATGCATCTTGATTGCGTGTTTGATCAGAAGTTGGTAAAAATCTTCAATTTCTTCATCTTTGGCCTTAGTGGTTGGTGTGTAAATTTGAATAACACTCATATTAACTGGTCTTCCTTGTAGGTATATGGATATTATCCTATCACTGACAGTGTCTATATAACATTGATAGCATTATATAGACTAGTTGCTTATAAATCAGAGAATCCAGGTTGGTAAACTTTAACAAGGATCTTAAATTCTTCATGATAGTTAGCATTTCTATTTAATCAGCTTTAAATTGCTCACAGATAAACAGACAAGCAAACAAAATAATTAAAATAGGAACCTGATGCACTAAACCTTCATTCTTGCAAAAACTATTAATCTGATGCAGTAAATCTTAATGTATATCAAAAACCTTAATGTGCGCTGTTAGTGGTCACTAATTTCTAAACTGTCCCTGGTATGGAACTAAAAATTATCAGTGACCACGGTCTCAGGGAACATCTAGCTCAACTGGAATAACATAATTTATAAAGAAAATGTTTTACATCCTGGGTCTTAAAAGCTTGTAAGTGACCATCTAAGATATTCCACCTGTCCCACCCCAGCTGG